GAGGTAATTGAGAATAGAGTTAGTAAGTTCAAGAGAAGGAAAACGCAAGACAAGTAAAGAAGAAACACTCACCTACGGACCCAAACACCGACCAAATCTAAACGCCTCTTTTCGACTAAGCCAATCGTAGGTTACACGAAGTTTTGGATTGTGGAGCGACTGACTCTCCGTATCGACCGATTTCAATAATATTGAACGTGATGATGGCGATTACATCGCTGGTGAATTTAATTGCATTTATCAAAGTGGTTAAAGTGAATCAAAATGTGGATTTTTATGCCATAACTGTACTTTAACCAATTTACCTACTTTTGACGTAAATGATATTAAAGGTAATATATATTGTAGCATTTGTAATCCTGCCACTTTATAGATATTAAACCCATTTTAAACTACAGATTATAATTTAATCAATTTTATAATACGTTATCTATTTTTTTTCTTAATAATTTTTAACTGTATAAACTGTATAAGCACAATGTATTATCTGTTTTCTCTTGAGATTCATATAATCAAAACTTTGTATTGAATTGAAAAAAATGATTAAATACTCTACCACTATATTCAAATATAAGAATTAATTATCTGCCATATTTAGATTTTATTACTATATTTTATACTTAAATAATATTTATAAGTATTTCAATACACCAGATAAAGAAGTTAAAGTTGATGTTCAAATCTATTTAATAAGAAAACTTTGTGTATTTTGAGTTAATTTTAAAGTTATCAATTTATAAAGTGCATACCATATTATCGCGTAATAAAACCCATCTGACATTATTTCAAGTATATATGTATTATTTCAGGATAAGGCTGATCACTCGATGTAAAAGTTAATGTTGACAGCGTTCTTACAAAAAATTGTTAATTTTGACTAGTCAAGTTTTAAAATTATATGTAAAGTAATGGCAAAATAATAGGTTTTGTTTTCAAAGTATTCAAAGTAAAAAAAGTTGTGTATGAAAACCGTATTATATTTTGGGTTAGGATATGTCATCTATTACTGTATATCTGCAGAAAATTAAACTTTAAAGTTATTCCATTACATCTAATCCTGAAATTTGGTTAGTCTAAATAACTTACATGTAACCTAAAAACTAGACTATATTCTATAATTTTTAATAAGTCAATATAAGTTACATATAAGTCACGTATCAGATACTGATATTTTTAATTTCAACTAGTCTAATTTGCATCGTTCTAGGTATATAATATTTGTAACAAGTTTTTAAATTTCATACTTGACAATGTCAAAATTGATTAATTTGTAATTTTATATGCAGTGAACATTAAAAACCACATAGTCTACTTTGAAAACCAGCTCCTGAACCACGGTCCTCTGCTAGGACCGGTCTTTAGGACCGAGATCAACCAGGACGGACCATCATATCCCTATTTATTACAAGTTTACGGCATTATTTCTGTAATTTCATGTGTAATTTTAAATCTTAGATGCAACATATTACTTATTGAATATTCGGCTGTATAATGCACAATCCAATAGCGTAATAATGTATACATTTTTTTTGAGTGACAACGTCACGTAGCTATCTTATTTATTCATTCAAGATTCATTATCCAAAATTATAGTTTCTATTACGTACATAATATACTGATACAATCAAATACACCGCACTCATCTCTAAGCAATTCAAATGCCTAGTTTAACTACAATTTATACTCATACCTACGTCTAAGGATGGCTCCGAAAGTATTTTGCCGTGCCGAACATCACAAAGTTGTTTTTTTATAAACTTTATATAGCTCTATAAAGTTATATAAATATTATATAAAATTTTATTTATTATTTATGTAAATATAAAATCTATGCAAATTTTATTTATATCTATATAAAGATAATTTAATTTACTTCAGCAATTTCTCAAAAGTGACCAAGGTAATCACCGATCGATGCACTAAGTAAAAATGTTCAGCATGCTCGAAAACCTTCCCCAAACCCCTAATTTAAATTTTAAAATCTAATCCTAGCTTTAATATTCAAGTTAAATTTTTTTTGATATTTTATATAATTCTACGTAGAAATATATATAGCTTTATATAAATAGATATGTAAGCCTACATTGGGATTATAAAGTTTTTGTGAAGGTGTATAAAAATTTTACATAATCCTACATAAAAATTCTACATAACTCTACATAAAAACAACTTCGTGATGAAAGTCATGCCGAAAGTCATACCGAAAGTCGACCATTTCAGTAAACCAAACCCTGTTCGAAAGTACTTTTGGTTGACTTTCAATTTCTGTAGGTACCGAAAGTACCTACTTTTGGAGCCATCCTTACCTACTTCTATTATTACTTATTTTTATCAAGTCGTTACATTATGCAATTACTCGGTGGCTGCGCTATCAATGCTCAAATAATTGTGATCAATTAGTCGATAGGGCTGATTACAAAACATTATTTGGTTAAAATATGATTTTTTTAACCAATAAGCTTATTGTAAGATCATCGGATTACATTTATCTCATAAAATCTAGCTCATTTCAGTTATAAATAAGACTTTATGCTCCCCACATGATTATATTTTAATTAATGATCTGGATTATTAATTTCGTCAAGATAAATATATTTCGGTTAAATTTTATCATGTGATTTAAGGAAATACAGTTTATCACTAATGGAAGGCTAAAGCATGACATTTATTATTAAAAATGGTTCGATTTTAAATATTTTTGTGTTGATTAAAATACCAATTAAATATAACATTTAAACAGTAACTTCAAATAAGCATTATTACTTCATCTGTTTTAGAGGCAAATTTGCCTCTAATTTCAATATTAATTTTAGCAATAAGTTTTAAATAAAGTAATATATTTTAGAGATGTTTTTATCAGCTTTATTTAAAAATAATAATAATTTTAAATTTTTAGTCAATTTTTATTAAACTACACTATTATATAACTATACTATGCATTATATCATGAACTATAGGTTTAGATTGATATTTATTAAGCTTATTAAGTATGAATATGTAATTATTTAATCAAGACAATTTTTTTAAGCAGCTTAAGTTTTTTTATAAGATAAAATTTTAATATAGGGAATTATAGGCTTTTCCTACAGAATATGCATATGCAGTATATATATTTCAAAATTCTTTAAAAGTTTATTTATATTAAGATAGCATTTAAGTTTAGAGTCAGATATGAAAAATGTATATAAATTTGCTCAGGGAAAGATTTTTGTTATTGCACGAAAAGAGGTTTCTTGTGCGCTTTTTTGATAAATAAGCTATATTTTCTTTGAACATTTGTTTTGAAATTTCCTGGTCGAGTATGTCACACTAAATTATAGCTCACTATTGACTAACAGATATGAGAGATACGTCTCCAGCAGGAGATGCCTAAAAGTACCCTCTTAATATAAGCCCTATTTTCAAATATTATTAAAAAACTTATTACTTAATTTTTTAACTTTTTTAAAAAAAAAATTTATAAATCGTTAAATTTGGAATCAAATTTACCCATAATTGGCTTTCAGACAAAATAATATTTTAATGATAAATTTTTATTAAAAAAATAAGTATGCGAAATATTAATATAAATAGATTGTAAATAAATAAGAAAGGTATATATAAATATATAAATTTGTTAAACATATTAGGTCTGTAGTGAGCTATTGATATTAAGTTTAGTATAAATTATTTAGTCAAAGCCATAAAGCGTTTTTCTACAATTTTCTGCGACGGATGAACACCAATACCTGTACTTATTTAGCACTAGATGCAGTATGTATAATTTTATCCAGAAGGACATACTTCTTTCTTACAAGTAGTTGTTTGTTTCTTAATGTTATTTTATTATCTTCAGCAATTAGTTCACTTTCAGCATCATTCAACAAGTTGTCATATTCTTCAAACGAAATATTCATAAAAGGCGCCAAATAATCTCTCGAACTTCTAATAAAAAATAAAGTAACTTCAATAGCAAATTCTCCAAAAGCATTTCCACCGTTAATCTGAGTGTCTATCGCTCGACACAACATATGTTCGGCTTTTCCGGTCTTTTTAATGTAATTTTCAAGATTGTTCGATATTTCGAGATCGATATTTTGTTTCTTTTGCCACGAACAACCTATATTATTAGAATAGGTTAAGAAATATTTAAAATATAGTGTGACTCTTAATATAATTACACTTAATACATCATCTCTTTAAATGCAATATCAAATTCTGGGTTAAGTACGGTCGATACTGCCTAATTGCATGCAATGCGTCATAGACCTTTTTATTCATATAGACATTATATATGTTGTGCCTCAGACTAACGCCTGCCTCAGATCACAGCTGACGCACCTCAGATGCAGATCTCAGGTGAGGTGCGTAACGTCATCTAAGCTGTGTCTGACGAAAGAGTAAATAAATTGAATAAGACCTTTTACTTGGAACTCTTATTCTCGGTTTCTTCGCCGTTTTC